TCGGACATGATAAATAAAAAATTAAATAAATATTGTTTACAATATAGTAAAAACATAAAGTAAAAATTAATTAAAAAGAACATAAAATTAAAAATAAATTAGATTGAATAACAATATTCTATATTGCAAGGAAAAATAGAAGATTAGTATTCTATATAATTCATGATATATTGCATCTAATGTAATTAAAATCAACTCAAACAGTAACTCAGAAGAAAAAAAGCAATTTAAAATTTAGAGATTTAATAAATATTCAATTGGATTTTATTAAATAATAATTTAAAATAAAATAATATAATAATATAATATTGGCTTGGTGGCTTTTCCAAGTGTATTGGGGTTTGCAGTCCATTGATGGCGGAATTTTAGAGTATTTTCAGTGGATTAAAGCTTGTTGATGATCTAGGGTTCAAGAAGGTGAAGGTAGAATCAGATTCCAACATTGCGGTTAATAGCATCAAAAGTCTGATGGCTAAATTTGAAGAGATAAAGATTCCAACATTAAACTAATAATAGAAAAAAACTAAAGGAAATGATAAAAACGGTGGAAACTGGTTCATACCAAATCAAAACAACCATCGCCATGGAGATCTGCACCGAAGATGAACAGATCTAGTAACGGTTCAAGTTATTAACAAAAATCATAACTAAAACAATCAAAACCAAAATGAGATAGAGTATTGGAAAAACTATATTGAATGGAGATGAGGAGTAATGAATCCACCATGCAGAGTGATTGAGCCTTGAGGGTGTGGTTAAGGGGTTTTGAAAGAAGATGAAAATGAAAATGGAGTATGAGGAAGAAGATAACGTGAAGCAAACAAAGGGATGGTGGATGGAGAATCTATCCACGTGGCGGGATGTAGAAGCAGAAGGGTATTTTGGGGATTTCCGTAGCATAGAGTTTTCTTAGATGATAGATAACGAGCTTCTTAAACTCTGATTCATGATTATATTTTTTTTAAAATCTAAAAAAATCATTTTTATTCAATGAGTTTGGTCGCAATTTCATAATCGTTCAAAATTATATGTATGTCTTTCCACTTATTCATATTCAATTTCATTTTGGTTTGGAAATGTAGACATTATCGAGAAGAAAGTTTCCGGAATCTTTTAAACTTTTTTCGGAACATACCCTTTGGACTAATGTAATATTTGTTTAGTCATGTTCACGTTCAATGGTTAGATTAGTTAGTGCACGTTGATGTTATCAACTCAATTAATGCACCAAAAGTTGGTCAGCCACTTGTTCCTAAATACAATGATCCATATATTGATGTTGAGAAAGATTTTATAACAAATGTATTGTATGCGATCTTATATCGATGTTAAGAATCTTTTCTGGTGTTTTGCTATTTATATTTTATCGGTGTACGTTGGTCATGTATAAATTTGAAAAGTAGGAAATAATTGTCTAAAATGTCACGTTCCAGTACAGACATAGACACTTTAGACCCTACACAAAATACTTCACGAAACATGGATGTCATACCGGTGGCGACCACAGTACAGGGTGCGACGGTTGTGTCCCTTATTAGGACATATGTTACTAGTCCATAATTGATAGAGAAGATGAACCAGTTACCATAGGAGAAAAACAACTGGTTGGAATAGTTGAAGAAGACAACCCAGAAGGATTTATGGCTTGTTCCATTTCTTTGGCAAACTGAACAACTTCTTGTTGTTGAGCATTCATCATGTTGAAGATGATGAAGGTTGTTGACGAGGGTGATGATCTTTGATGAAGAGCATTGATGAAGATCATGAACACAGAGAACTTGTTGAACAATTTGAGAGAAAAAGAGGGCTTATGGTTTTTAAAGTGTGAATGTGAAGTGAACATGTGTGATTTATAGTGTTTGAGAAGTGAGAGAAGATAAAATAAAAATAAATACAATTAAACATAATAATTAGGAGCATTAAATGAAAGTAATAATTATGATATCAATTAAATTCTAAGAAATACGCACACTGCTCATTGCATAGCTTAGATAGCGTGTGATGATTAAGCATTACCAAGGGTTACACACGTTAATCAATACATCTAACTAAGTGACACGTTTGATATCCTCAGAGTCTGGAGAACTAAAAGGTTTCCATCTAATCAAAGATATTTTCTGACCGAAACATCTTCTGATTACCGAGGTTCTGAAAGAAATACAATAACAATAACAAGGCTTAAAGATAATAGAAACATTACTCATAGAAGTTTAATAGTCTATCAACTGATTCTTCAAACAATTTTCAGAATCCATATTAGGCCAAAATATGATTTAAGCCTACTCCTACCTTTCTTAAACATATGACTTGAGTTTTCGCAATTGAAGTAAGAGAAAACTCCTATTTTTAATTCAATTAATCATATTGCGATTTTGAATTTTTTAATGATTTGCAGATGATTTTTTATTTGTATTGGAATTTTTGTTGTTGTTAGAAACAATCAATACTTTTTATTTTTGATTTCTCTGAGATTTTTTTATTTTAGAGGTGAGTAAAAAGTCAATTTTTTATTAAGAGTCTATTTTTTGTTTGTTTGTCCTGGGCCTCTAAAAAGTCGGGACCGACCCTGTCTAGAAGCAATAGGGTAATCCATATCAAAAACCATCATTCATTTATCGATATCATGCACACCCGAGTGATATACTCGTAACACATTTCTTAGATAATTTATGATTGTGCATCATGCATCTAACAATCACCTTCAACTGATACCACTTAGTACATATATCAACCTAAAAGAACATTTAACTTTCATACTATAAATGTCTTCTGAGAAATTATTGCTTTCAAATGCATTCTTTCTTTTATAATTTCCTCCTCTCTCGCAACTCATAATCAATTTATCTTTCCTCCCTGACTTTTCATTAGCAGAATCGAAACGAACAGTGACAATAATAATACCATTTTTTTACTAGTAGCATGTCCACATACTAAAACTTTAGATCGGGGTTTAAATATCTATCGATTACAACACATAAAGAGTATCAATATCATAGAGACGGGATAACTTTTAAAAATTAAACTTGTTACATAGAAAACACATAACACCAGTGGTGAAGAACTCCATAAAATTTGTCCATGAATCTGTAAAAGAAACTATCGACTTTGGACCACACAAATAAATCATTTTTCTACACTACACCATAAATTTCAGCACAACTATAGGCAAAAATTTTGATATACTGAAAATTTCAAAAAATTTAGAAGATTTTGTTAAATACCGAAATTTTTAGAAATTTTCAATATGTTTTTTTTTTCAGCACCCGAATTTTCAAAATTTCCAACAAATTTTCTCTAGAAATTTAAGAATTCCCACACAATTTTCAATAAAAACACGAATTGGCTGCAAAATGAGAAAACGTCATACCAAAATTTTTAAATTAAATACCAGAAATTTCGTTTTTTTTACCGCATGGACATAGTGAATTTTTTCAATGATAGTAAATTTTTTTAGGGTAAATAATAGAAAATACATTTTGTTTTTAAGAAAATATGAGGGATACCAAGTACAACTTGAGAGGTGGCAAGTCAAATAATCTATAGCCAGGTTGGCCTATTTGGCATCTCTACTATTTATCCACCCATACTTACAAAACAAAAAAATAATTTCTCTCACCTTTATACATTCTCCCGGATTCTTGGTGAAAATTTCAAAATATTATTTATTTTTAAAGATATATCTTCGGACGCACTAAATCTCATTTTTTATAAAAATTTAGTTCGAAGATACATTTCAAATTAACCTCAAATAAATTCAGAAATGTATCTCCGTAAATACAATTTGTTCTAACTACCATTAATTTCTATAATAATAATAATGACAAATAGTTTTATACTTTTACATATCTTCTCGACTAATATAGAAATTTCTATATGTGTAATTTTTTTTTAATGGTAATTGATGGTAAATTAGATATTGAAATATATATTTGTGAAGATATTACCATCAACTACTAATATAAAAATTATCATCAATATATTAGAATATTTATAATTTCTATATTACTAATATGTATATATTTCTATAAATTTTTATTTGTAATTTCCATATTATTAATATAGATATTTCCATAATTTTTTATATATTTTCAAAGATATTGATGAAAAAAATTTATATATTTTTGGAGATATTGATGATAATTTTTATATTAATAATCGAAGATATTTTCGGACGCATTAATGATATCATATTAACAAATATAAATACTGAAAATATTAATGGTAATTGAAACAAGTGATATTTTCAAAAATATATTTACGAATTAATCTCAAAAATAAATTTGAAGATATATCTCTGAATAAATTTAAAGATATTTTGGAATTTTCAAAAGGATGCAATATGCCAACAAAAAGGCAAGCAACACTTATAGAAAATAAATCAACCTCTCGTGCTATAAGGACAGGATAGTGCCCCTTGTTATTCAACAGTTGTACTACCGCAGTGGCCGAAATTGGTTTGAAGGATGTAGAGTAAAATGAAGAGAACGTTCTTTTCTCCTATGAAAGAAGAAACCACACAATAAGAAACCACACATTTTCCAAATCTGCCATTACATTAGTGGGTGATGTGATAAAAAATCATTTCAATATATGTCAATTTAAAACTATTTTATACTGGCATGATACATCCTTTATATCCAAAATTATAACAGAACCAAACTTACTAGCAAGCATTTTCACAAATATAAGAAACCATAGCCAAAAAATTGTACAATTATTCTTATAAGCACCCAGATTTATGGCCGAGTAACAAGAGTCAAAAACCTCTCATACAGATTACACACAAAATATTCATTGTTAGAGTGCTGTCACCAGCTAAAATACATAAGCTCATTCAATCCTGCTTTCAAAAAACAGCTCTTTTATTAGGTTATGTCGATTAGAAAATTAAAAACTAATTTTCCGATACTTTCCCCGACTAATTTAGATTACTTAATTATATATTTTAGTATGGGATACTTAAAAATACAGGACTAAAGTGAACTCCTAAAATTCCAGGGCTACTTTAAGGATGAAAGTGCAGATGCAACATTTCGTGAAATTCTGTCATGTATCGCCTCCTACACAAAGAAACAAAGATATATTAGTATTATTTGCATCAGGTTATGTACATTAAAAACTATTGGTTTTGGATTACCTTGGTCGATTGCACCTCAAACTTTGATTTTGTTATAGTCTCGTATAAGAAAATGTACCTGTCCAGAAAAATTGAACGATGCTCGTTTAAATGATCCAGACAAATAAATGTGCACTCAAAAATCAACCACAACTTGATACATATTTCAAAGAACATGAACTTACCGCCAAGCCAGTTCACAAACCAGATCTTCAGGAGCTTCAGGAAGGACCTAAATAAAAGCCACACATCATATGATTTGATGCGTATTTAGAAGCTACAAGCTAATCCATTAGGAGTAGAAAGTGTAAATTACCTCATCTTCATAAGGGTTGCAATGAGTTTTGAACCACAGCCTCAAGAACTCCTAAAAATTGGATTATAGAATATTAGCAAGTTGTTCAACATAGAACAATGGAAGCCGATTATGCAATCAAGAAAGAAAACAATTATGCATATAAAACACCTTATCAACATTTTCCGGCTCAAGACCATTTTGAAAGCGCTCCAAGTAAGAATTGGCAATCCAATATCTACTTGAATCAGGAGTATGGACCTATAGTTGGGAACATAGACACTTTATCACATTTAAGTTAACATGTGAGTGCATGTGAAAATCCAATATGTATCGAAGATAGTATTCGACCTCATCAATCAATAGAATAGCTCCATCATTTGCCTTCCCGAATTCATATTTAGTGTCAACCAATATAAGGCCGTGTTCCGAGGCCACTTGCTGCAAAGTCAATCAAATGGTAAAGTCAAGCATGCAATAAATCAAGGGGAAGGCATTTTAGAAGTTCCCTTGACAAAAAAAAACTTATTACCTGTCCATATTCAAACAAGCTTAATGCTTTTTCACTTGCTTCTGCATAATCAGCTTTAGTCATCAGTCCCTTTTCTATAATCTGTAAGGAAACACAACATTAGAGGAAGTCAAAACTTGGAAGAAAAAGTGTTACGAAAAACACTGTAATATTGGCTGACATTTACCATTACGGCGAGCCAAAAACTGCCATGTTTATCCACCATAGCGGCCATGGTACCGCTATTTGATAAGATTGGCACAGTTACAAGTAGCAAAAGAAAAAACTAGGATCATACCTCATCTGGAGTTACTGGAACGTCGTGATCTGCAGCCTTGGTAGTTGGAGTGAGTATATTTTTGGGCAACTTTTGATTTTTAACCATTCCTGTCATGTGTTAATATCCTATTACATAGGGGGATAAACAAAATTAATAATTACAAAAGAATTTGAAATCTGGATGCTCACCATCTGGTAGGATATTTCCACAGTAGTTACGATTGCCTTTATTGTAGACTGTCCATAATGATGTATCTGTACTTCCAGTAACAAACCCTCTAGCTACAAACCAGCAACATATATCAATGGATGGTTACTAGTGTCCTCAACTTCCACTTTTAAAATAATTGAAATATTTTTACCACACTTTAAATAACAAATATTAATTTCGAAGAAAAAAAGGCACAAGACAATGTAGATAATTATGAATGGTGACTGCAAGTATTTTACACAGATTATTTAAGTATTTAACCATGGACAGGCAAAAAAAACAGAAGTCTGTATCAAGAAAGACTCACCAACAAACTCAACAGGGAAAACTGAACATTTCTTTGCTATTGTAACATTTTTATCTGGAGCCGATACAAGTGCATTAGAAACTATGTGCCTCGTCCTCTCAAACCACCACAGACTTGTCTCGTTGAGAACCTGCAATTGCCACCAAATATTTAGCAACTATTAATGTAGCGGGTTTTGAAAGACAGTAATATAAGTAGAGAGTTGTTAATGAATGGTTGGATGGTCCTTTACGAAGTAAATGAAGAGAAGATAAAAAAGAAACTCTGACCTGGCCTTTAAAAGGAATGGAAGCAAGAACCCTATCGAAGGCACTCTGTCGATCGGTAGTAACTAAAACAAGATAATCCCCGCTATCATAAATATCTCGCACCTGCCAACATTACATTAACCTACTTACAAATCCCCTCAAAATTAAACAATGCTTGAAACATCTTATACTTACTTTGCCGCGAATTTTAGATTTCAGAGCAGGAACTGTCAAATGTAGGTTAGTTTCAGAGAGGCAATTAGAGAGGGATGTGGTAATGGCATCGAATAATTGGTTCTTGCGAGGATTGTTGAGGAGAGTGTCTCCGAATGAAGGTTGTTGTTCGCCTTCTTTTCGTGCCATTGAAGCCCCAATACATGGGATTCGGAATTTCTTTGGTTTGAAACTGATTCTTGCCCGGGACCTAGCCGCGGATTGGGAAATAGGATTGTTGAATTGAATCATGGTTTTGGGAGGGTTTAAGGAAACTATAGACTCGGCCATTGCGAATTCAGATTTCAAACATACAATCTGAAATGAAGAATGGAGAAAATAGGTATGTTAGGTAGGAAAAAGAAAAAAAAACGTACCCGTGAGTATTGCGGTAAAATCCCTCACAGATGTCTGTTTAGTTACGATATAAATATAGATTTGATGTTATTCGTACTCATAACAAAAATTATTTAGATATTAATTTTTTAATATAAAGTTCTTAAGATGAAGATTAAATTATCAAAGCAATTGGAAGAGTCCAACATGTTGATAATTAATGTTCACATCAAAACCATAAATCATAGAATGTTGATAAAATGTAGAGGTTGATATAGATACAAAGATTAAATAGCAATAAGAAAAGTATAAATTGGTCTTCAATATATAATTGTAATGTAGCATGAAAAGCTGGATAGTGCACTAAAAAGAAGAAAAGATTAGTAGTTAGAATAGCATTGCATATATGAATAAACATGAAATAGGAAATAACTAATAGTGTGTATGAATACTTTAATGGTTCCATGGAGAAAAATTGAAATTGTTAAAACCAAGCATGATAGATTTAAATGGAACTGTTAGTCATGGGAAAAAAAGTGAGGCTAATAATATATGTGAAAAAAACTGTTAGTCAATGAATGGCAATAAAGATAAATAATTGTAGGAAAATTAAGAAAGATATTACCTAAATAATATTGTGAAAAACTTTTTTAAAAAACACTATTTAATTAATAATATATAAATACATATTTGTTGTTAGTAATATATAATATTTCAAAAATGTCTGCATTATTAGCCATGGTGAATATTATGTTAAATGTGTGATACTAACTACAAATTTTAAATGATTGACATTAATTAAGGGTAGGGTCTTATTTGTTCATTAACGTATTCTGTTTTACAGGTTGTAAAAACATATTTATCGAAGAAGATGATCGGAATTAAGGCTCTGATACTTCTCCGGTCCTTCTGGTTTGGTTTATTATATATTTATTTGGTTTTATAAAAGTTGGGCAAACTTGAAACCTTATTTTCAACTCTTTCTAAGATAAGTCATCCATTGCAAATCGTTCTTGAGGTGTTATAGGATAAGATTGGATCATTCTTGATGATCAGAAGTGTTTGAAACGTGAACCCAAGCATCACCGATTTGCATTATTTTTTTAAATTCGTATTTTTATTTTTATCATGTTTTGATTGAAACTAACCATACTAATGTGTTCCTGATATGTAATAGGACATGTTTGAACCATCGCATGAGTCCCATAACGCCAGAATACTCCATTTCCATAATCGAACCGATTTGTCTTATTTTCTTTATATCTCTTTGTACATGACGGTTCAGTAAAAACTAAGGCCACCATTGAATTCACAACTCTCAAATTAGGAGGGTAGGATCCTATTTGTTCATTAACGTGCTCTGTTTTGCAAGTTGTAAAAACATACTCATCAGAGAAGACGATCAGAGCTAGGGATTCGACGCTTCTCCGATCCCTCTGGTTTGGTTTATTATATATTTATTTGGTTTTATTTTATTAACGGATGAAACAGTCATTCCAGTGGTAAGGACGCGCACGATAAGGCGTGAGTTCGATCCCTGTCTTTTGCAAATTTTTCTTGTTATTTTCCAATTTCTGTAGGTTTAATATAGTATGCATTGCGCCTATGTTTCTAACACCAACCAGTGTTTGGCCTGGTGGTAAGCTACGCATGGAGAATGTTGAAGGATGTGGATTCAACACCCATCTCATACATTATTTTTTCTTCATATTTTTCATTAACCCTATTTCCTTTTCTTTTCAAATTAATCTTCCTTTTATTTTAATTAAACCCTAATTATCTTTTTTTTAAAAATAATCAATTAACCTAATATTTTTCTAATACTATTAAATTAGAGTTAGGTTTTTTGTAACAATTAAATTTTGATTTTTTATTAATTAGTTAATTAAAGTAATTAAACCTCTTTTTCAAAATATTAAAATCAGTTAGAGATTTTAGGTTTTATTAATTATCTTTTATCATTTAAAATTATTTTCTAAAACACTAAAATATTTTCTCCTCTTTTTTTCAAAACCTTCTTTTTTTCTTTTCTATTTAAATTCTTAGGTAAATGTATAGATCGTATTATTTGTATTGTAATAACTTAGGTTTACTTCCCTTATTTTTTCCTGTTTTGTATCTGCTGCGAGGTTGTAATAGTTATAGGTTTAAATTCTCGCACTCATCCATTATATAACTGTCCCGAAGCCATGTAATAGCGTAGGAATTTTACTTTCCGCACATTTATATTTCTGCCATTTTTTATGCTATTAGTAATTAGGCTTGTATGGCAAGATTTAAAAACAACCGATAACAAATCCTAATATCAAGATAAGATAACTGAAATCAATACACTATTTACACTTACACCTCTAGAGTAACCTCTATTTGTTGCCTTCGGAAATATGGTCATGTCCCCCAAAAGTAGGGATACTTTAGCAAAGTCCCTTTAAATAAAGATCATAGTCCCTCGATGACCCTTCGATGTTGCCTACAAAAAATGATTTGGTCCCTCAGATAAATTGTTAAAGTATCTCTATTTGTTGCCTTCGATGACCATACGACGACCCTTTGACTGTCCTTTCACATCCAATAGATAGGGCTACCTACCAACTAATGATACAGATAGTACTATCTCTAAGGAGAAGGAAAATAACAAGAATGACCTTGAGCGGGTAAAAAAAACTGTTAATCGCTTACTCATAATATTTTCTAAAAAAAACATTTTTTACACATCACTTTCAAATTATTTTCTAAAACACTTTATACGCGTTCTTGAGGACTGATACAGGAACCATTACAAAGATAGCCGTACTTTGTCTCTTCAAAATATTTTTCAAAACACATACACAAAAAAGCAAATTTTTAAAAGTGAACTAAGCAAATAAGAGCCCGTAGATAACTACGGATGAAAAGGGTGATAACACCTTCCCTTTTCATAACTTATCCCCCAAACTCAAAATCTTCAAGGTCTTTCCTGTTATTTTCACCCTTTCCTTATTGGATAAAATAAAAAAGTCAGTGGCGATTCTATTTATCCGCACATTTGTGATAAAACACAAAAGTCAATTCTCCCACTGTATTACGCTTATCATGTAAACTTTGTACATGAGGAAGAAGATAAGTAACACTCCTCTTCAAACACAGTCCCGATATTCCATCCTGAACTCTCTAGATGAAAGCCCACAGGAGCAGACCCCAATTTTGGATAACTAAGAACACAAGACACAACTATGCTCATAACTCAGAACACAACACACAACAGAAGAAAAGAAACACATAAACTGACACACACACAAAATGTTATAATATCCTGTTAAACATCCTTGCAAAATAACTGCAAGAACAGACTTAAAACTCACATGATGGATTGTCATGCTCCCCCTAAAGTGTTCCATACAACAAGTAACAAAACTTAACCTATCATAGACCTAGACTCTACAACCTTTTCTCCCCCTTTTTAGCCAAAAAATGACAAAATTGAGTGAAAAGAACTGACACAAAGAGAATCAAAATAAAGCGGCAAGAATTAATTCAAGACACAAAGAAAAACTGACTCTATAAAATGATGCAGAATAAGAAGCACCAAACAAACTTAAGGAAAAATAACTCCCCCAAGCATGACTGACTCAAAAGAATAAACAAACCTAAAGAAAAAAATAGTAAGCCTTAGTTTCTTTCCCAAAAAAATAAAATCAAGATGACTCTTCAAAGAATTTTTTTAAAAAAATTGACCCAAAAAATATGTACAAGATAGCAGTTATCGGCTATCCAATTCTCCCTCATGAGTTAATAAAATTAACCCAGTCTTTATCAGCATTTGAATATGAATCATGTAGATGAAATTGTATTCTTCTTCAAGGAGTTCATCTCTACCACAAACGATTTCCCTGTCCAGGATTCCCCAGTTAATGTTACAACATTTGTTGTAATGTTGAACCCGACCTTCTTAGGATTACTGCTCTTATTCTTGTTAAATTCCAGCAAATGGACCTTCTTGACACCAGTATTTTTGGAGAATTTTCTAATGTTGAGACACAGCATATGAGAAACGTGAGGAAGAAGATCATATAAATACAAGATGAGTTACTTTGATTATAATGAAACCATGCTTGTAACGATAAATCAGTCAATGAAAGCGTTATTGGAAGGAGATAAAATCTTCTTCAGATACAGTGTACCACTTAATGAGAGAGAGACACACCCCTATTCAAACTTCCATCATTTTAAAACTTTGACTGCTGAAAAATGTTACAAGATTTGAAATGACAATTTTTCATGTCACTGATCATGCTTCTTCTGAGACTGCACAAGTTACAAGGAGGAATATAGTTGGAAACCCCGACCAACCAGTTAATACCAAAAAACTCTCCCACAATGCAACTTCAAAAATACCCCTTATAAACCCAAAATAACTTGCACCTCAAGTTATGATAACATCTTTTCCAAAGCTCCTTAGCCAGACCAAGCATGAGAGTGACAATATTTTATAGAAGGACCTTGACACAATGACTTTGTTCTGTAAGCATAATAAAATCCTTATTCCTAGTTACAGTAGAATGTTACACAATAATGTCATGACACCCAGTTTGACATTGCACTCTTCTAGTAATCAACCCAAAATAAAACACATCTTTCTTCAGTAATGTACCTAATCTTCAAGACATATCGGGACACAATTAATTCTAATCTCAGAGATCAGAATATCCTCCAATGATACAATCTTCTTCAGACTTGGCAAAAAGCTTTCTACCCCAAGACTCTTAATCATTCAGTATTCCATTCTGAAACATTTGATGACCACATACAAAAAAAACTCCAAATAATTAACTCCCTCTTAAACTGATTTATGAGAGCTTCCTCATTCAGTGTCTCATAGCCCTTTAGAATCTTTCAAAAAATTGGAGTAACAAACTATTGTGATAATGTTCCAACATTTGGTTGAACATCAGTACCTTTCTCAATGAACATATCAC